GGCGTCCCGGAAGCCCGCTCGCGCGCACGGCGCACTCTTGGCTAGACGGGCGCAGGCACCCCGCGCTCGCTTAGCGCACGGTCCCCACCCGGGACGGCTCGCGGGCGCGCTCCCACGAGCCCGCTTCGCGCAAGTCGCGTGAGCCGAAGCGGGGCTGGGCCGCGGCCCCCCAGAGAGACGCCAGGCCACGCTCTGGATGCAGAAGCGCGACAGGAACACCAGGACACTGATCACCAAGGTCCCGAGCACATAAGCCATGGTTCTGCGCGCCGAAGCTCAGGTGCCCACTCTAAAGCCGCAGGCTGCCTGGCAGCACCCAGGCACCGGGAAGCCCAAGCGCCGGGGACCGCTCTGCAGCGCCAAGACCAGGATGAGGCAGAGACGCTTGCGGAGGCACTGCCCCCAGACACACCCTGCACAGGCAACGCTGCAACCCCAACACTTATAGAAACAGCGGGCAGGGCACATGCCCAGTCGCAGGCATGCAGAGGGGCGGGCGGACCCGGGGTTACGAAACCCGAGGCATCCGCAGACGAGTGCCCAGTCTGTCCACCCAGGGACACGTGCCCAGCCACGTGCACACCTGCGCAGCCAACACCACCCGCTCCGGCAGCCACTGGCCAGGAGCTTCCCGGGGTCCCACAGCAAAGCCCGTGCTGCTGCACACATGCACAGCCGTGCCCTGGCGGCCCCCCACAAAAACTCACACAGCACAGACTTCTAGGGACACACTCCCCCAAACGCACGCAGGCAGCCAGCTCACACACCCCCTGGGTGCAGCTGAGTGCCCCGGTGCCCGTGTGGGTGCCTGGGAGCCCGCCGCTGACCAGGGCTCAGGGGCTGGGGGTGCCGGAGGCCCCACCCATCACGGGCCCTTCCTCTCCAGAGCCCCCACCCCGCGGAGAGCCGCTAAGCTGCACTTTGTGGGGCAGCCCCCCCTCCCAGTTTTGCCCCCGTGTGCCAGTAGGCGGGTAGGGGAGTTGGAAGGGGGTTAAAGAAAGCAGCAGCCCCGGGAGCAGCCCCCGCGGCCCTGGCCTGCGAGGGGGTCCTGTGTGCACGCCCCTTGTGCAGAGGGTGCCCACCCGTGCGCCTGGACAGGTCCTCTCTGCCACTCGGAATGCGGCACGGGCAGCCCTGGCCGTTAGCCGGTCTCAGACTCTGGGCTCGAGGACACACTTCCTTCCTCGGCAGGTGTGGGCAGTCAGGCCCGGGGCCCCCAGGCTCACCTGCCCACCAACCCTAAATCGGTGCTTCTAGAACACGGCGGAGTGCGCAGGCCTAGGCGGAGACTGGAGCCGCTGGGCTGGCCCCTGGGTGGCTGCAGGGAAGCCCCCTGTGGAAGGTGTCCCTTTTCTGACTTCCTACAGAAGACCCAGAGCGGGGACACTGGGAACGACCTGGCGGCAGGCTGGGGGCCGGTCACTCAGCAGCCCGGGCTGGACGTCTTGGGCAGCAGGCGCAGACCTGAGGATCCGACTGTCCGCGGCACGGAGAAGCCGCGCCTCCCCTGACCCCTTCCTCTCTTCCCTCAGAGGACCCTGACTTCAGCCTCCAAAATTATCCCGCGCAGCCGGCAGATGGGGAGGGCTGGGTTCCCAGCCAGGCACTGAGGCGGGCGGGGGATCTCGGCCAGGCGCCCGGGGTGAGGCCCCCCCAGGCGGAGTCACGAGGTGAGGTGCAGATTGCATGGGGCGCCCAGGGGGCGAGCCCAGTCGTGCGCCCACCTAGACCCCTCCCTTCCCCAGAGGCCCGTCTTACCCCTGCTGCCCACCCCACATCCAGAAAGGCAGGGGGGCCAAATGTCTCAGGCTCGGGCTCAAAGTCCACCCTCCTGGCCCAAGGCACCTGCTCCGAGTCCCAGCTCCGCGGGCTGTCCGCTTGCCGCAGGGAGCCCCGTTTTCCTGCCTACAAATGGGGGCGTCACACTTGTCCCCTGCAGGAACTTGGGTGTTTTTTTTTTTTTTTGTAAATAGAAAACCACTGTACTTACAAAGCTCGGCCCCTTCCTGCCCCCTCCAACAGCTGCCACTGGCCTCCGCGTTGGCTGGGGGAAGCCGGAGATGGGGGCAGGGTCCTCCCTCCTGCGGCCACCCCTCCCAGACCCCTCCTGTCAGCGGCTGCGGGAGGGGGCTTTCAGGCTGCCTGGACCCTATAAGCCAGGGAGCTTTCTGTTGGTTTGCTCTAGTCTCAATAAAGCATTTGTAAATTCAGGAGACGGGAGATTTCTTTTTAGCAAGCAGCGCCTGAGAACCGGTAGGCAGAAGCCGTGGGGAGGGCGGGTGGTGACTGTCGTGTGCAGGCTTCAAGGCTGCAGAGAAAACATGAAAATGCCAGTCGGGTCCCTCGGGGAGAAGTCAGCACCGTCTGCTGTTTGCAAGCAGCCGGGGAGGGCTGGGGAGCGAGGTTTGGGGGAGTCAGGATGTCACCCCACCGGCCCCTGCCCCCCGCCCTTGGATCACAGGAGGCATGCCCCCACCTCGGGGAAAGCGCCGGGGTCGGTCGCAGGGACAGCTGCTGCGGGCCCAGAGCAAGAACAGGGGTGACGCCCCCCCAGCCCCCGCCTTCTGCCCAGAGGGGCCCCTCGGCTGGGCTCTGCAGGACACAAAGGGGCTGGCCACGGCTGGAAGTTTTCTGAGGAACTAAAGAAATGTCGCCTCACCCTCTGCCCCTCGAGTCCCCTTCTCGAAATGCAGACGGGGGCCTGTCCACCGGGCTGCTTGGCTCTCGGCAAAGACCGAGGAGCTGAGAGCGCGTCTCAGATACGCTGCTGGGTGAGGAGGCAGTGGGGGTGCTTCACCACGACATCTTGCTCAGCAGACCACACCGCCCCAGCTGAGAAGCTCCACGCCTGAGGCTTGGTTTCAGCCTAGACCGGTCGTGGTTTGGGAGGTGTCTGAACGCATCACCACCCACCAACGCAGCCAGAGTGGGACACTGGGACACTCTACACACGGGGAAACTGAGGCCCAGCGAGGCCTCACGGCGCCTCTACTCCCTCCCTCCCCTCCCCTGCTCTAGCCATGGGTCTCCCCCCTCCCTCCAAAGGAGGGCTCTCTGGGCCCAGGCCAGACTGGAGCAAAGGCGCATCCTGCCCAAGAAACCGCCCTCCCAGGCAAGCCCAGGGCCACAGGCTCAGGTGGCTTGGTGCAGACACTGCTCCTGACACCCCAAAGCCAGAGGGTCGAGGACCTCCCTGAACCTCCCCCCCCCCAAGCCCAGGGCCCTCTAGGCAAGGTAGGAGGCTACCTTGCGCCTCCCGGGGCTCCCCCCTTGGGTTAGATGGGGGCTGGGCCTAGGGAGGGCCATCAGCGACGCCTGTGGCGGGCTGGTGCAGACAGCCAGGCCTCTGTCAGAGACGGGGCACCCGGGCGTGGAGACCCCCGTGGTAGACAGGGGAGCTGAGGCAGCCTGGCCCTCCTCAGCCAGCACTGGGAGGAGAGTGGGGAGCCCTTTGCTCTGCTCTCCCTGCCTGGGGACCCGCCAGTCGCTTGGGGCCTCTGGGGGTTCTGCACCACCCCAAAGAGACGCCTGGTGACCACCCAACTGAAGTTCCTCTTTGGAGAGCGAAATTATTCTTTTTCTGCCCAGAGGGGGGGCCCAGGACAGAGGGTGGAGGGAAATGAGGGTACATTTAGGCCGAGAACAGCGCGGTTTGGTTTCAAGTTCAATCAGAGAAGCCTCTTCAGTCTGAAGTGGCTTGCGTGGCTCATCCGCGGGAACGTGGCCGGGGGGCACAGGCTGAGTTCAGCTGCTAGCTGGGGCTGTGGGGTGCGGGGCGAGCCCGCCCCTTGTCCCCAAGTGCCCGCGGCAGGCCTGCTTGTGACGCAGCGGAGAAAGAGCAGAGAGCGGCCCCCAGCCCCGCCGCCGGCGCGGAAGGAAAAATACCGGCGAGGGGGCGTCTGGCTTTGGGGCCACATTTCGTGTTGACTTCTGCGGGGCTCTCCACACCTCTCCCCGAACAGAACCAATTTCTCATCATCGATGGTAAGATTCAAAAATAGATTTCCTGGCTTCTCTCCTCGCGGTTGGAATCGACAGAGACGTCAAGTTCACAAGTCTAATTGTCCGCGTCACCAATCAGATTATCTTCTTAAAGGGCGCCACTGAGTCATGCTGTGTGGTGGGAGCTCCTGGGGTCTCGGGAAAAGTTAATAAGGCCTCTCGCCCCACCCCCACGCCTTGTAGGTAAATCACCCCTAACTGGGAGAAGAAATCAAGACCAGAGGAAAAGGGCCTCTTTCATCAGCAGCCCGGGAGGCACACCTTGGCCCTGCGCAGGAACTGCCTGGCCAGAAATTCCCACAAGTTAATTTTGCATATCGGGGAGGCGCCCCTTTCTCTTTATGTCCCTGACCCGGCGTGGCTAAGCGCCTACTGTGTGCTTAGGCTCTGCTGGGGTCAGGGGAGACCGTGGTGAGGAGCCTCACGGTGGCCCTTCATCTCCGAGAGAACTGGGGGGCTAAAGCTTAGCGAACTTGGGCGCAGGCATGGCAGTATTGGGCAGAGAGACGCGGGAGCTGCTGAGTGTGCAAGAGCAGGGGTGGGGGCTTGGGCTAGTGTGCAGGGAGGCGCAGGCCTTCCGTGGGGCGTGTCGCGTGCCACTGCTGAAAATGAACGTTCAGCGTTTGGGTTTAAAACCCCTTAATGACAGGCCTCCCCCCCCAGTCCCCGTCACCCAGAATCACTCCTGTTAGGAGTCCCTGGCGGGCTAGTTGGGGGGCCGGGAACACTGTCACCATCCAATTATATGGAAAAATTGTTTGGCATTCCCAGACCCCAAACTGACCTACCAAGCAGGAGCACCCCATTTCCGACAGTGGGGGAACCTGTATTCTTGAAGGTGCTGCAGCCTCTCTTGCCCTGACTGTCAGTCCACTGAATGTGAACCCCTTTTCTCACAACCGGGAGGACCCACAAACTCATCCCGCCCAGGTCTGTGTTCCCCACCTCCCCGGAGGGCCGGCCAGTGGCACCCTAGGAGACCCAGGAGAATGGCCCCTCCCTGTGGCCAGTTCCCCAGCCCTGAGCCCCTGCAGGAGGCCTCTGGCCCACCACAGGCGCTAATGGGGGGTCTGCCCCTGCATCCTGACCTTTCTGCAGCTCCTCCGAGTTCAGGTCCCCGGGAGGAGGCTGTGAGGGGCCGGCCGGCTTCTTCCCTGCTGCCCCACAAGTTCAAGGGCCTGAAAACACACAGCTCTCGAGGAATCTAAGATGCTCTCCTGCTATATTTATGCTCTTATTTGTAAAAAAAAAGTATC